CTCCTACCGGGCCAGCGGCGAGGGCGGGTGGCTCCGTGGTCACCGGCGGGCTCCGGGGATCACAGCGCCCTGTTCTGCTGAAATCCACCGATTTCCAGCCAAGAGCCCGAGCAGCCTTCCCGCTGCCAGCCCGCCGGCTCCCTCGGATCGGAGCCGCAGGGCCCCTCCGGGCACAGCCGCTGCCCAGCGCTGCCGCCACGCTGGGAGTCGTTACAAAGAGCCCCCAGCGACTAAAAATCACTTTAAAAAGTGGAGTCACAGCAAACGTACAGCCAGTACGGCAGTCAGAGACAGGACTGCAGAACTCGGCACGCAGGGAACACCAGCCCGGGGGACACGCAGCTTTCTCCCCGCTGCCCAGAGAAAGGGTCAGGAGCAGCACCTCGGAGCCTCCCCGCAGGGCTGCCCTGACTGGAATAACTGGTGTCACCAACCTGCCACACCAGCAGCCCTGTGCAGGGGCATAGCTGGCTCAGCAGATGCTTCATTCCAGTCTGCAGGAATTCTTGGAAAGTCAAGCTGTTATTCCAAATTCAATTAATGCTGCAACATCGGCAGTGGGAGAGCTTAGTCGAGGGAACAGATCCGGCCAAAAGCTGAAGGCAGCAAAAAGAGCATGATGTCATGGGGTGAAAGCGAACAAACGCCACTCCGGGAGCCCGGGACTCGCCAAGCCACAAACTCAGAATGCAAAATAAAGAGGATTTAACTGCACAGTCACCAGAATCCCATGTTTTCAGACTGTCAGGAGGCTCAAGGCCCACGGACAGGCACTGCAGCCAGAACCAGTCAGCACCTGAGGCCATGTGGGCTCCAGAACCACAGGCCCTGAGTTTGCCCAGACCAGTCAGCAATCTGTCCTGTGGCCCTCGGCAGTCGCTGATGTCTGTGAGGTGGAACAAAGCTCATTCTTCTGACACAGAGAGGTGGCTTGTCTCCAACCAGCCGCCCTGCAGCCAGAAGCCAGTAATTTAGCCATGCCAAAATGTTACGGAACTTCTTGTATCTGGGCCTTAACATGTCTGCAGCTGGGGAAGGTGAAATCCAAAGAAAATCCAGAGCTGACCAAATCTTACATTTGTGTAGAAGAGTACAGAAAAGCCTGGAAGAAAACGCATCCTTCTGTGTCAAAAGGATCAGTATTAAATAAAATATTCCCACAAGACTACACAAACAGAACATCAGCTTTGTTCCCCAATGTGTGCCAATTCAGCACAGATCTAAGGAAAAAGCACTTCAAGTTATCGTAAGGAACCTCTCCTGGACAAAACTGTAGTTCTGTTCAGATACCCTCCCCATCACAACCCAAACCGTACAGCTTCACCAGAACAGGCACATTCCTACTGCACCAGCCCAGGATTCAGCTCATATTGAAAAAACCAAGACAGCTCTCAAGCAAGTGGAGGTAAAGAACTGCAGGGAATCCTTGACCTTACCCTGACCTCCAAATTTACATCAGAATAAATGACTCCTTCATCACCACCAGAGTTTGAACTACCCAGTGTCTGCAATAATGGATAAAGCAGCCGAAAATCTATGCCCAGCCCTGACTCGCAGAGAAAAGCCACATCAGCAGTTGTGCTGCAGCACTGGAGGGAATGTCTGCTTTCTTTCAGCAGCCACCACAGCGTGCCCAGTCCGGGCAAGTTTCACTGAGCCAATGTGGAGCACAAACCAGTTTGTGGTGACAGCCCCCAATAAGATAAATAACACTCAGTAAAGAGTGGAAAAAGGGAGAGGTTCAAAACAATAAGATCTAATCTACTTAGGTCTTCACATAAGAGAACTCTGATACACACACTAAGAGGTGGATGTGAATAGGATGAGCCAAGAAACAAGTCTGTGTGAGCTGGCTGTGCTTCACCCTAACTGGAGACTGCAAAGCAAACAATAATCAAGGCAGAATTCATATCAGGCTAGGTATGCAGCTGCCTCGGCAGCAGGTATTGCTCCCTTCACCTTCCTAGCAAACACCAAGCACCGTCCAGTCATTGCTCTCCATTATTCCCAGAGCAGAAGGTCCATGAAGCAAGATGCACATAGGAAGAAGTGTTGAAGACACTCCCCCTTCAACACAGCAGCAACAGCTGGCCCTGACACCAGCCCTACAGGAGCCTGCAGCGCGATGAGCACGCAGGAAAAAGGGCAGGCTGCACTCCAGCCTCTGCACTCCCCAGCTCGAGGAAAGCCGGCCTCGCAGCTGGCAAAGGGCCATCCATCTCCCGGCCACCTCAAGAGCACGACGGGCACTCGCCACGGGGCTCCGGGCTGAGTCGGGGGCAGGTGAAGGGAGAACCGCCAGCGGGGCACGACAGGAGCCCGCCCGGCACGGGACCCCCCCACACCCCGGCCCGAGCCGGCCCCAGCACGCACCTCCTCACGCCGCTTCTGCCAGCGGCCGCACGGAGACTCCTCGAGGATCTCGGACTCGTCCTCGCTTTCTTCCTCCTCCTCCTCCGGGGGCGCCGCGGAAGTCACCGGCGCAGACACCGAGGTCATTCCCGGTCCGGACGATGCAGACTCCGGTTTCGAGTCGGAGCCGGCGGCTGCCGCCCGTGTGG